AAAGTTTGGGGTATTTTATGAAGTGGTAGTGATACATAGTTATTGTCACATGTATATGTGTGCAGCATATTTTAATTGTTGAGTTCTTAAGTGTTCGATATGACTTTCTACTGAATGTGCCTTTGGTGCTTCATATGACCTCTGGGAGAAAGTTTTGTGTAATACACGTCAGAATTATTCAATTTGTTATGGTTATTATCAATGTGATTTTCCTAGTTAATGTCAAGTGTGTTTGTGTTCATCCTATTTCCCCTTGAAGCTTCATGAATTATGAGTCAATTGGAATAACCTACAGAGTCCTTGCGCGAAATCTACTTGCAGTTTTAGTCTGTATAGATTGAAAACACAATTCCAGATCAACAAATCCCTATGCTGGTTTCACTTATTACTGATCTGTTTTACGCTTCCAGGATTTCAAGTTTGCCACTCGTTGGGTGGTGGCACAGGATGTGGCATGGGAACACTGCTGATATCCAAGATAAGAGAAGAATACCCTGATCGAACGATGCTGACTTTCTCCGTATGCCCTTCACCCAAGGTCTCTGATACTGTGGTGGAGCCCTACAATGCAACCCTCTCTGTGCATCAGCTTGTTGAGAATGCCGATGAGTGCATGGTCCTCGACAATGAGGCTCTTTATGATATCTGTTTCCGAACTCTAAAGCTCACTACCCCTAGTTGTAAGCCTTCATATTCCCGTTTAACACTTCGTATATATTATATTCCTCGTGATTTCTTGAAAATATTTTAACTAAAAAAAAAAAAAAAGACCGCTCGGTTAAGTTAGCAACTTTCTTCGTAATTAAATTGTTTTCTCTTGATCCAGTTGGAGACTTGAACCACTTAATATCAGCAACAATGAGTGGCGTGACCTGCTGCCTCCGTTTTCCGGCCAGCTCAACTCCGACCTCTGGAAGCTAGCGGTCAACCTTATCCCCTTCCCTCGACTCCACTTTTTCATGGTCGGTTGAACTGGCAGGATCTATAAGATTTGCTAATTAAATTTTGCTACATTTAAAATTATTTTACATAAAATTACATATTTAAATAAAATAGAGATTTATAAATTGTTTATCAATTAGTTTAAATAATTGATATTTTTAAATTGTTTAGATATTTAAGTAACACATTTTATTTGAATTTATTACAAAAAGTATATATATATAGATATATATATATATGTATATATATTAAAGCATATTTTTAAAGAAAAAAATTAAATTGTATGATTTTTATAAATTAAATTGTATGATTATATTAAAGCGTATTTATAAATTAAATTGTATGATTTTTAAAGAAAAAAATAACAAAAAAATAATAAAACTACTATTTATTGGTTGCATTAAATATTGACCTATTTTTGGTAAATAGGTTCTCTCTTTATATATAGATAGATATTTATTTTTTATTTTTTTATTATTATTTTATTATTTTTTTGGTCTTTTAGTTGTTTTTAGGGTGCAAGTAATTGATGGAGTGGGATAAATGTGTGGGCCAAAAAATATAAAAAGAAAGGTAATGGGTTTTAATTTTTTGGGCTTTTATTATTGGGCTAAACCAAACAAATAGGCTTGTTAAAAAAAAATAAAAGGGGTTAATAACAAAACTAATGTAAAATGTCAATTAATTTTTTTTTTTATTTTATTTTATTTGGGGCTGGAGCCCACCCTAGCCCATGGGTGGCTCCGCCCTTGTTTTGATGTCTTTTTTTTTTCGACGGGAGGTATCTCCACGTTTATTCCGTGACTTCACCATGAACTGTCAGCCCCCACAGAGTATGGGCCTAACGGCCTAAGGGATCCACACTAAGAGGTGTGGGACTAATCCTCTAAGAGAAGTGAAGTGCCCCATCCCCACTCCCCACGATAGTCAGGTTCGATTTTCTGACATTCGCTAGTGGAGTACATACCCTAGGGTTGCCCCTGTTTTGATGTCACTCGGCCATTTGTAAGTATACTTTACTCCACCTCTCCATTATTCAACATTTATGGAAAATATTCTCATTTCTGTATACTTTATTTGATGCCACCAAAATGATGCAATTGGTGATTGGACTGAAATATAACCGCACGAACTAACTAATAATTCATACACATTACATAAAGATAAGTGCAATGACATAAAAAAATATAAAGGCAAATAATTATATAAAATTGAGGGCCATCACGTAAAAATAAAAACGAATCATACACATTACATTGTTTGCTTTTAAACTAACAATGTTTTATAAGTTCCAATTTAACTTTTTTTTTTTTTTTGGCTAGATTTATCAGATACAACCTATATATCAAATTAAAATTATGCCAAATTGAATTTTTATTTTTTTAATATCAAGGCATCACAACTCTAACACCATTAGAAATAAATTCTATTTTTTTAGTATAAGTAAGACAATTTTAATTCAAGTCTCACAAATATATATATATATATATATATATATATACTAGTCAAACATTTAATAAAACCTCAAAACTTTGCATTAATTAAGTATTGTATTTTTTATTTATTTTATTATATAAGAACTACTACTAACAAATTATAAAGTCACATTAAACGATATTATAATTTTTTCAAACTATTCATTTAAATTATTATTTGTTTTTTGTTTTAATACATTAAGCAAGTTTATTTATTAAGATTTATTATTTAAATTTTATGATATAACCAAAATTTAAAATTTCATACACAATGGCTATATTAATAATAATTTCAATATTAGTTATCTAATCAATTGTTCATAACAAAAAAAA